TATTCTAGTTATATTCAGGCCTATCTGTGGGCAATGTTTCAGCTTGAAGTACCATCATTCAGTTTTTTGGTGTATACAGTCCTATAGGCTAAAATTCCAGTAAAATGACTATAATTCTGGTGGGAAGACCTAAGAGCACTTGTTCTTTTGGGATCTTTTACATCTCATCGGGGTCTACCTTATGCACAGAGTCCCTCTTTCATTATCGACATGCATTCACACTAGGTAGTATTGCCAAGACTGATACATATGTTGATGAATTCACTCTTTTACAATATCAGCAGGTTTATCATGTTTCATATTTAAATCCCGCAGGGATTGTCATAACAGCTTTTTAACTAATGATGTGCTCTAAGACGTAAGACTTGCAGACGTGCATCATATTTCGCTGATGCTATTTATCTTCTAATTAACTTACCGATCATAGCACGTCATAAAAAAGTTCCAACAAGTTCATAAGTATAATTAATATGAAGAATATTGTAATAAAATAAACCAATCTGAAAAAAATAAAATTTTATTGAATTAAAGAAATAAAAAAAAAATTTTTACCCAAGTTCAAATAAGAAAACATATAATAACGAATATTTCTAAAACCAATACATCGTCCAAGAAAAGTATTATGATGATTACATTTTAAAATACATATTTTACATAAATGACAATGTTGTGATCGTAGTGGAACATTTATTTCACAATCATGAAAATAATGTCAATTACAATGATAATAAATAATATCTTGTTGTGTTTTTTTCTGTTGATATTGGAGTTACTATTACTGATGGTAATAAAGCAGGGCAAATTATCGTATCAATTGATGTATCTGTAATTATATATAAATATAAATTTCCAATTAAATTAAAAATAACATAAAAACCAAATATAAGATGTAAAATTTCTTTATAAATAAATATATTATGATAAATTGTTGGTAATATAACATATAATTCAAATATAACATACGCACAAATAAGAGATATTGTAAAAAATAATGGAATAAATTTCATCACGATCTTTAGGTATCAGCAGTTTTATTCGACGGTTAGTCATCCTTTCATTGGCTATATTTAAGTTCTTTCTTAAAGATCTAAAATAAATAGACAAATATATCGTAAACCTTCATTATTAATCCTATGTATTGTCGTTTTTCAAGTACTCTTACTGTTCATTGAAGAAAAAAAATATAGCATTAACTCCCTCTATTTTCCATTAAATGACATTGGCCTAGTAAAATCTGTTGTGTCTTTCAGAGACGTGCACGACGCCCAAAAAATGAGGCAGAGGCGACCACCGACAAAAAATGTTGTCACTGGGCGGCACGGCCGCTCCCCATGTTTACTGGAAGATTCTTTTTTATTTTCTTCAGAGATGTGTTGCACTAATGTTTCTGAACAATTAGTGTCGCATTTATTAATATTTATGTATGAACAACAGCAGTTCATTAACGGAACCGTATTAAGGTATTTTAAAAAATGTAGCTATATATGTATTAGTTGATATAGCACCAAATTCTTGTTAATTACTTTTACATTTGAGTATAAAAAAATTTAAAAGTTAACTCGAATTTAAATCTTAAGCTCGTTTCGATTCAATACACTAAATTTTAAGATAGATCGATCTGATATTAGATTAATTTTTAACACATATAAATTAAAATTTAATTTATGCATTTAATTGAGAAATATCAACATGAAGTAATAAGACTATCAACATCTCATAAACAATGAGCTTGCTAAAGTTACAATTCATCTTCCCCACATATCAGCCCCTAAGTGTTTTTTTAAGATTGCTTGTGGTGTTCCTTAAACAATATTTACTTCCGAAGAGAAAGAAAAACAAAACAAAACTATCAACTACCACCATTATCTTAAAAGCACGTTCACATATACTGTAAATGAATCTTTTCAGGCGTATATTCATACAGAATATTAATTTCCTAGAATGAAATTATGAAGAAAATTTTATCGAGAAAATCATACAGTATCATTTCCTGCAAAATACTAACGATGATGAGCGTTATTATTGGCAATTTTGCAAGATAAGTATAAGCATATTTTGATTATTATAATAAAGTCAGAATGACAGTTAGGCTATACTGAGTTTGGCAGAACAACTCTTCAGCTAAAATTTCAATATCAACTCTCACATTTTTATTTAATTGAGTATGACTTTCCACTTAATATTCTTGATGATTTCTTCAATACAGATCACCAATCAGTTGAATATTGCTCTGACTGTGATTTATTTCGAAATAAAATCTTGAAATGCAGCTATAATCATATAAAAGTTCTCAGCTTTAAAACACGCCTCTATACTTTAAATTCATCCGAATTCCTTTACGATACCAATTGACTACGATCTTTTATCTTTGCAACGTGTTGAAGTGCTTTTTCATCGATGTAGTCTAATTTTTCGAGTAATAACTCTTTGTTCAATGATATTGACGTACCGTTATTGTTTACAGACCGAATTTCTGTAATGGATTCGCTATTATTGCCATTTGACATATTATAGATTTTGAAAACATGAATATGAGAACTAATTTGTAATGACATAATTTATCGACCAATGCATTCACATAATAGAAGAGAGATATACTACAACGATAATATAATAATAGAATAATAAATTGTACTAGATATAACTAAATTTAAAGTTAGCAATCTATCAAGTATGTGTAACGAAAAGAGTAGCAAAAGAAAAAATTCAACAAAATGTAGCCTAGAACATCTACTATAAAATTAAGAGTTTTCTATAATGAAAAACAATTAATAATAGAACTTTGAAAGAGTATATTACCACATCTTAAGAATGGGCACTAAGACGGTGTCCTACTATTTATCATTCTTAGTTTACCACAAAAAGAGCATAAGTTTAGTCGGACGGCATTAAAAATTGACTCAGATTTTTTAGATTCATCTACAAGAAATTTTAACCGCTAACATGATCAAATCACCATCGCGCAGTGCACGTCTCTGGTGTCTATTATATTGCAAAATGTTCTTTGAAAATTTTGATCTTACCCCTAATGGGTCATAATTAATTTTGTTAAGTAAAATAAATTTACAAAAAGAAAAACAAACCATATTCAATAATAATCTACCAAAATTATGGTTAACTATTGTGTTTCTTTTATCTTTCTCGTATATGCAAACAACAAAACAGACAGCAACAACCATGATGATGTTTCAGACAAACACACACATAAGAATGAAAAGACAAAAATACCCTTAGAAGAGCCAAGCGAATGAGATGCTTAACGGTGATAATAACGACCAAAATAATTGTGCGAAAGAGCACGATGTGCATCTTCATTAAATAATATAAAGAAACAGCAGAAAAGAAGAAAAAAACAAGAAACAATGTATACACCAAACAAACAAATACACACACACATGTTTACCAATAAGGAAAAATATTGGTTCAAAAAGAGAACTCTATGTATGACATGATAATCTAAAAATAACGATGGATGTCATCATCATTATTTTTTTTTAATAGATCTCCTTAAATATTTATATATATATATTAATTGTTATTTGTCGAATGTGTTGATAAGCAAAAATCTTGAGCATTAGGATCGAGATTGAATGTAGCATTTTGTAATGGTAATGGCGGTGGTGTTATAGCTGTTGGAGGTGAATAAAAAACCGATGATGAACTCGTTGTTAGATTATTATTTGTATCAATCAATTGGTTTGTTGGTGATGAATGTCCAGATGTTTGAGGATGATCATTAAATAAACAATTATTTACTTGATGTTGGGAATGATGTGCAGCAATTAATTCGCGCTCTTTTTCTCGAATAGCATCTGAAGAAATTTTTAAAAAATCTTTGTTAGTTTTGTAAAAGTTTTAGCAATACAAACTATTGGCTATTGTAAGTTGTCGTTTAACTTCACCAAATGCAGAAAATTGATCAAGTTTAATTCGTGTTTCAGCACTAAGACTATCTTGTAAATGACCATTTCGTTTTTGTAATTGTGTTAAATGTTGATAGAGTACTTCTGTGTCAATTTGAGATTCTCGATATTTTAAAAGAGTCTAAAATCATTTTAATCAATATTTATTCAATAGCATAAAAATTTAAATGCATTTTGTTGTTCTATTTCAAAAACAAATGGTTTCATTTCATATTCTCATAGATCAATACGTATTTGAGGAATGATAGTTCTTTATTACAGCGTCTGATGATGAATTATGTTATAGAACAAACTGAACATTAAAAACTTAAGCATAGTTTTATGACAAATCAATCGATATGTTTTTTATTAAAACTCATTATAATCAGAAGGATTAATCGCTTGAGGACAAGAATCCCATCTTTAGATAACGATTATGGATTAGTTCGTAACTAATTTATGTTGTTGATGGTAGTATCCAGACATTCTTTCGTCAGTTTTGGTTCATTGTCCTTAATAATGTCAAGGATTACCATTAACATTAGAGAAAAATCGAGAATGATGACTGGCTTTATACTTTGAGAAGCGTGTAGTAACGAAAATTCGTTTAGTATTGCATAGTCATACATACTTGCATTTGTAGATGGTCATATAGTATCTCGTGATTCAGAAAGGGTGTGTCGATGATATATAGACAACCTTTCTGTTTACTCAAGAAATTTTCGAAAGAACATTGAATAAAAAGGATACACTCAGCAAAACAAAATATTTGTTTCGTTAATGAGTCTTTTGAAACTTTTGACTGCATAAATGAAATCAAAATGTTCTATTGAAACTGCTACTACTGACATCGTATCTGTCCCTTTTGATATAATTTGATTCCAGTATCTATACAATTCCATCATTGATCTTTTTTGATTGTGTACAATTGTCTCATGGCAGAGAAATACTTTGACGCCATTTTGAGATACACAATTTAAATGAACGATTTCAAGTTAGTCTAAAAACTGCTCACTCTATCTATGAAATGAATCTATCATAAACTTCTTCCCACAATAGCAGATCCAGTGTCTCATTTATTTTCATAATTTTTAATTAACAAAGTTTTTCAAAAAGTCAAAACGATTTTGAAGATTTCGGAAGAGATTTTCAAGATTTTAGAAGCAAAAAAAGGATGTCGGCCAGAGTCTTTCAAAGATGTTTTAGCTCAAAGTCATTAAAATTAGGCATGTTCTAATGGAAAATATTGAATGAGTGATAATTATGTGAGAAATTAATTAATTCAACGGTCTTATTTTACGAGGAAGAATTTAGTTCGAAAAATATTGATATATCTTAATTTCATTGTCAAGTAAGTTGATATGATCGTCTTTGTCATTAAGTTATTTACGCATTTTTCGTGTTTCATTCTCTTGATCTCGTCTTCGTTTGATGCATTGTTCTGTACATTCACTTCTAAATAATAAATTTAAATAAAATATCAAAATAAAATCAATAGTATTACAAACGTTGGTAATATTAAATTTAATTATGCCAAATCATCTTGAAGTTTTTTTGTCAATGTTTTTTCTGTTTTTATTTGTGATTCTAATCGTTGTTTAGTTTGTTTTTCTTCATTGACATTTTTTTCAAGATCAGCTATACGTTGTTTATCACGATTTCTTTGAGTATTAGTTGATTTATATCTAAATCAGATATAATAAATAATAGAAAATCTTTTTTTTTTATATACAAAAAATTAAATGTAATATACTTTGCTTGTAATGTTGAACAGAGATGCCAACAGGCCACTTTTTTCTGGCCTGGCCTGGCCTGACTTAGCCTACAGGCCAGGCCAAAAGTCAAAGAGTGGCCTGCAGCCTGGCCTGGCCTGGCCTGGCCTGATGTGCAGGCCAAACCAGGCCAATTGATGTTTCTGATTTTTCAAATCCACTAAATTCTATAACTCTGTATTAATACATGATTCCAATTTCAATTATTTATTTAATTTATTTTCATGAAGATAATGGAATAACAAGTTTTTGCAGAAAATAGCAAATTAAAACAAAGAAACAGTCATCTTAAATATTTTTCGTACAAGAAAAACTTGAATTTACGAAAATTTTTGATGAGATCAATACTTCTTCACATAATCGAAAGATGTTTAAGCATAATAACAAAAACAACATATGATCCGGGATACGACGAAATGACGAAGTTAAAAGTGAACAAAATCATCAACTTGCACTGTAAAAAAAAGGGTTTCTACCGAACCCTCCAAAAAGGTTTCGTAGGTGTCTAAAAGCTTCCAAATGCGTCGAAACGCTTAAATAAATGGTTGTTAAAATCTACGAAACCTTAAAAGGATCGGGTATCGGGTACAGCTACCGAATCATCTCCTACGAAACCTTTTTAAAGTTCCGTACAGCAAAAAAAGGTTTTGTATTTTCTTACGAAACCTTTGTAGTTTCTTACTAAACTCTATGGTTTCGCACTATGGTTTTACACGAAACCATAAGGTTTACTAGGAAGCTACAAAGGTTTCGTAAGAAAATACGAAACCTTTTTTACTGTACGGAACTTAAAAAAGGTCTCGTAGGAGATGGTTCGGTAGCTGTGCCCGATACCCGATCCTTTTAAGGTTTCGTAGATTTTAACAACCGTTTATTTAAGCGTTTCGACGCATTTGGAAGCTTTTAGACACCTACGAAACCTTTTTGAAGGGTTCGGTAGAAACCCTTTTTTTTTACAGTGTGTGGTGCCATCTCATGTTTCAAGATGACTACCCATGTAAAAGAAAATTATTAATAATCAGATTAACAATCGATTAAAATGAGACAATTTTAATCTGATTTTAATCAGATTTTTCCGCCTTACAAGACAGATTTTATTTGACTTAATCTTTTTTAATCGATGAAAATCGATTAAAAAACTTTAATAATCAATTATAATCGATTTATTTCAGTAATCGATTTTAATCGATTAAAATCAGATTAAGTCAAATAAAATCTGTCTTTTAAGGCTGAAAAATCTGATTATAATCGTCTCATTTTAATCGATTTTTAATCTGATTTTTTTTTTACACGGGTACTAGAGAAATCAATATCATATCGCAGCCAGGCCACTAACTTTGGCCTGGCCTGTCCTGGTAACCAGGCCGAATATTAGATGGACGGATCAGGTCAGGCCAAAATTTTAAAATTCAGCCTGGCCAGGTGGCCTGGCCTGGCAGGCCACCAGGCGCCTGCCAGGCAGCAGACCAGGCCGGCAGCTCTGAATGTAAGAAATGACTTTTGCATCAATTTGACTCAGCGCAATCATGAGTAACAATAAATTATCATTAAAGTGTTCATTGTTCATTCATTTATTTAGTTTATTTATACGTTTCGATAGATTAAGGATCACATTTGTTAAATGGTTGTTCCTAAAGTTTTACGTCAAGCATTTCCGCAGTATTACATATATATAGTTTCTTATGCGTTCCGACTAAAAAGTGATCGTCCACTTCTTCATAAAATTCCGTAAGATGATTTATATTGAAAAGCAACTATTTCTAAACGTTGAAAGCT